GGGCCGCCCCGGCCACGCCAGCTTCGGCCAACGCCACCGCTCCTCGAGCCCGGGCCGGCGCGCGACAAGCGGGGCGGCGACGGCGGCCCGCTGTGAGTAGGACGGCGCGGCGGAGCTGTGTGAGCAGAGGACGGCGGAGGAGGCAGAGGCCGGCGTGCGGCGAGGAGGCGGCCACGACCAGCAGGGGGGCGAGTATGTGGGGAAAGCACGTGGGTGGGGGCCGGGAGGAAAAGTATGAAGAGACGAGTGGGAGGCTGACAGTGGGCCATTCACATGCAAAATCTTCTCTCTCCGCCCCCAACAGCCCCCCGATGGCCTGGGGTCGCCCTGGTACCGCCGGCTGTGTTTTTGGCTAAATCCGGCGTTTTTTAAGGTCGTGGGGGCGCGAGTGGCGAGTTTTTCGCCCGCCGGCGCCCAAAAAGTGGCCTGGGGGCATCCTGGGGGCGCTAGTGGAGATGCCCTTAGGTATGATGCATGCGTGGGGCCCACATGTCAGTGCTTACACACAGCCCGGTATGATGCATGCATGGCACGGCCCACATGTCAATAGCTAACTCCTATTTGCATCACCATTTTTCTTCTTCTTCTTGTGACTGCCTATGCAACTTGTCGCATTGGATTCCTGGGTCGTCATTCATTTGTTTTAAATGGGTCTGTAATCTAATCCAATCTTCAATTTTTTTTTGCAGCAGTACTAATTGTGCAAGAAAATCTGATCAACATCAGAATATACTATAGTTTCTAGTCGGTGGCAATAGGACAGATCCATGCATGTGTACAGAAAGCGCCCAGCGATGCAAAATTGATGGGATCATGGGAGCCATGCATCTGCTCTAACAAGCAATACACATGGCTGCAATTAACCATAGTTGTACGCCCTAGCTACTCTATAGCAAATACAGATCATCCATGCATCGTCCTACTAGTACTAGTGCTACTCTATACCAATGCAGAAGAACATGCCTTGGAGAGTAGCTAGATTAACTTCACTGTGCTGCTGTAATCATCCTTCTGCACCACCTGTATGTAGCTGTAGGTAGGTGGGAGCAGTAGGAACAACATTCTACTCAGTGGTACTAGTAATTAAGTATACATTAATCACCGTCCTTAAACATTGTAGTTGCATCTTGCACCGCGGAATGGGGGGTGAAGAGGGCACAGCAGGGTGGAGCGAAATTAACCCTGGTGCAGTTAAAATTCATGATCCGGCCCCTGCAGCTTGCCTGCCTGCCGGCCGGCCGGCTTCTTCTGCTTCTTGCTGCTCCTGATCCGTCTGATCTGATCCCTATTGAACCCTTTTTCTCCATGAGAGAGAGATCATGGTATAGAGAGAGAGAGAGAGAGAGAGAGAGAGAGAGAGAGATGGAACATGCTAGAGAGGGCTGCGATCTACTTACGTGATCCAAGAGTTTCACCCTCTCATGCATCCCCCCCACAATCATTTGCGCCACCCCATTTGCACTGCCCTTCTCTCTCCACCTCACTCTCACTCTCTCACTCTCTTCTCTCTCTCATGATCTAGTATATAACATGCGCCCGGCCCTTTGCTTTTTGCCTGCATATAATTCTGTTCCTCGCTACGCTTGCTTCTCCTTTACTTATTTAGCCTCCTCTTTCCTCCTCGTCCTTCACGCTACTACACAAGCAAGCAAGCAGACTCGCATCACACCACTGGCTTGGCTAGCTCTCCAACTCAGCCAATCCGATCTCTTGCATAAACTATTTCTTGGATCCCTTGAGAGAGGATCTAGAGCAGCAGAAGTGGGATCTGCGCGCGCGCAGCAGCTTCGATGGGCCTCGACGTCGCGGAAATCTCTGAATTGGCGGCGCTCCGGCCGGTCCAGACGACCGAAGTGCCAGGGGCGGACGATGCTGCCGCCGACACCGGCTGCGTCACGCCGAAGGCGAGCGGCTCCGTGGCCATGCTGCCAATTGCGCCACTGCAGCAAGTCGACGTTGGCTTCGCCACGCCGCTGGCCGCGGGTGGAGAAATTGGGCCGCGAGAGGGCTGCGGAGCGGGGGCCACTGCCGGCGACGAGGGCAGCTTCACCACGCCCACAACGGCCGACAGCGCGCTGGTGCCGGCCACCGTGTGCCCGCCGGCACCGCGCAAGTCGGCGCCGGCTCCGACCAGGAAGCGGGCGCCGCTGCAGCAGCGGCTCTTCTTCTACCCTGTGCCGAGCGACCTGACCACCGTCTTCGTCGCCGTGCCGCAGTGCCCGTCGCCTGCCAAGAAAATGCGGGCGCACGTGGTAGAATCTTCCGTGCCTCTAGGCACGTGAAAGTGTGAGAGACACACGTACATTCCCTCACTGTCTTGTAAATGCAGTTCAGCACTTCACATGCAGGGTGCCCGTAAGTCTAAAGTCTAGCGATAAATTCTTGGATTCTCTTTTTTTTCCGCATGCGCAAGCAGTGGCTGCACGTGTCGTAGTTAGCTACTACTCCCTCCATTCGAAATTAGTCGTCACAAAATGAATATATCTATAACTAAAATACATCTAAATACATTCATTTCTTGATGAGTAATTCCGAACGGAGGGAGTACCTCACAGTGTACCTGGGCATATCTGGGGCCGGGCCGGGCCATAAAAAGCCCGAGTTGAAACCCAGGCCTGAGCCTGGCCTGGCCCGACTGTTGGGCCTACTAAATTGGGCCCAAGCCCAAGAAGTCCGACATGGCCTGATCGGTCCAGCCCGACTACGGCTAAAATCTCGGTTTTCACAAGCCCGAGCCCGGCCTGATCTGCCTCTCGGGCTCAATTTTCAGGCCCGAGGCCAGCCCGATGGCACGCTCGGGCTGTGCCCGGCTCAGAATTTTTTAGTCGGGTCGGGCCATCCGGGCCGGGCTGCCCATGGCAAGGGATACCTCACAGGGATCCACTCAATTCAGAGTACAAGGATTGATACAAACGCAAATGTGCTGATAATCGAACAGCAAGAAGGAGAGAGGTTCAGAGCCGAGGTGGGAGAGCAAAGAGCCACAGCCATGTCGTTTGTTCTAATCCAACCGGAAAGTTTGCTCGTTCTGTTTTCCCTCGTATTCCTTTGAGCTACCTGATCTCCCTTCTATATGTAGTCCAGATCTGCTGCTGGGCTGCCAGAGGGAAGGTTGCTAACAGTTGTCGTCGAGGGAGGCGGTTAGTCTATGTTCTCACCACGGCCACACGCAGAGATGGGATTTGCCGGAAAAAGTGTAATTTAAACTTGACTTTGTAAACCTTTCAAAAAAAAAAAACTTGACTTTGTAAAGCTTAGCTAAATCGAACCCCTAATTCCGAATCCCGGTTGTTGGCACCCTGGACTTATCACTCCCGGTCTAAATCGAACCCTGGACCTGGTTTTTACGAAAAAAATACATCCTAAAATGGAATAATTTGCTACTTTTTCTGACAGACTTGACCCACCTGTCATATTTATCTTCCACCTCTAGTTCAGGGCCGCCCAGTAACTGATTTTTTTATTCGTGTCCACTTGCATAGCAAACTTAAGTTGGTTGCAATAATTTTTTTCGTACTTGTGCCCAGTAACTCTTTTTTTCTCTTTTGATTTTCTGTTTCCTAATTTCGATTATCATTTATCCCTTTGTGTTTCTTTTTATTTTAAAATTTCCTTAGGCATTTATTTATTTATTTACTTATTTTTTATCTTCTCTATTTTATTATCATATTAATTTTTTAAACATTATGTATCTACTTTGATGTATATTTTTTAATATACAATGAGCATTTTACAATACAAGGTCAATTCTCTTAAATATATGTTGAACATTTTTCTACTATAAACTTTTCAAAAATTCGTGAACATCTTTCAAACTTGTGACTGTTTCCAAAAAAACATGAAAACTAATTCAAATTCACAAAAAAATTGACTTTGCGAACATGTTTCAAATTTTTGGATATTGGTTAACCTTCAAAAAATATTTTCAAACTCATAAACATTTTCATAAAATCATGAATACTTTATAAATATTCGAACATTTTTCAAGTTCATGAACAATTTTTTAGTTTTTTGAGTTCGTGATCTTTTTTCAAATTCATGAACATTTTTTAATATTCAAAACATTTTTGGAGTTAATGACATGATTTGAAATGCAAGAAATCCTTTCAAATTTTCGAAATTATTTGAGTTTGCGAACATTTCTCGAACTCTTGATTATTTTCAAATTTGAGCGTATTTTTTATTTCTGAATTTGTTTCCAGATTTGTAAAAAAAAATTGAGTTCACCACCATTTTTCCAAACTACTGAAGTTTTTTATCTCTAATAATATTCTTTAATTTCCGAAAATTTTCTGATTTGGAAAAAAATCAATATGATGCGTATTTTTTAAAATTCGTAAAAAAACGTGACTATTTTGCAGGGTGGCCGACCCATCAAACGAGCAACCTGAGAGATGTAATCCTAGGATCGTCGCATTCCCGGTGCACCAAAGAACTCCAGGGTTCAGTTTAGACCGAGATTGATAAAGTCGTGGTGCCAACGACCGGGATTCAGAGTTGGGGGTTAGATTTAGCTAAGCTTTACAAGTTTAAGGTTTAAAATAGACTTTGCTGGGAGTCGCCAGAGTTCAGAGAGGTGCAACATCCACGGCAAGCGTTGCATGTCAAACTGGATTTCAGTACTTACGCAGACGTTAACATACACTCATCCCTCGTGGCACATCCTATCCCTAATGGAATTGGGGTATAAAAACTCTCCTAACCATCCAACGACAAGTGTATTTCCCTTGTATTAAACTCCGAATGGCTTCAAAGTGACCACTACAATGTTTGCACATGTTGGGGAATGCTGCAAACTGGTACAATACTCATATTTACAAAGTGACTACTGCAATGTGGAGAGAAGTTTACTCCTTAGGGCAATTGTGCTAAATCTCCTCATGGAGCATCCTTACAAGCCTTGAGAGCAGAACATAAAGAGCTCTTGTTTGATGAAATGCTAGATGCAATCGAAGCACAGGAGGAACCATTGGCAGAAATGGAATAGTCAATAAGAGCAACTCCAACGGGGCGACCCATTTCGTTCGCCGCCATCAGTTTGGGTCGGCGCGGACAGAAAAGACGGCCCAACGCGCCAACCCAAACGGAAGCGCATCCGCTTTTCGTCTGCGGGCGACCCATTCCCGGCCCATTTTTGAGCCGGATTTGCTTCGGCGCGGACACGCGACGGACGCGCGCACGCTCGCCCTCTCCTCCCCCGGGCCCGCTGGTCTGTGTCACATTGCCCTCCCCCATCCAACAACAACCATCAGCCTCCTCCTCCGTCGCCGACGCCACCGCCCATTTTTGCCGGCCATCTGCCAGCTGTCAGGGCCTCCACATCCGCCCAGCTACGCCGCCCACTCCCACATCGCCCGCCACCGCCGTCTTGCCGCCGGGAGCCGACTGCTTCCCACCCCCGCGCCCCCACCACACAGCCGCCCCCGACCAAGAAGCCGCCTCGCCGCCCGGCCAGATCCTCACCGGTACGCTCGTCGGACGCCGGCAGGACAGCTAGCTGGTCCGTGCGCGCCACGACTCCCTTCGCCGGCCGTCTCCTTCGCCGACGCCCGCAAGTTGTTCGACAGTCTCTCAAGGTACAAAATGGACTCCGCCGACGAGTTCTTTTTTCAAAATTTCCTTTGCGACTCCGATGATTCATCCTCCGATGACGAAGAGGAGATATTGGCTGCCGTGTTGGTCCATCACCACCTCAACAGTCGGCGGCCATTGTTCCGTGGCTCCATTCCGGGCCACCTTCCGACGTTGAATCGCAACCGAGAGAGCGGGCATTTCCTTATTTGGAAGGACTACTTTGATACAACAAACCCGTTGTTCAAACATCAGAAATTCCGCCGCCGTTTCCGTATGAGTAGGCATCTTTTCAACCGTATTAGAGAGCGGGTAGTCGGCTATGATGACTATTTCGAGTGCAAAGAGGATGCCATTGGCAAGATTGGTTTTTCGTCATATCAGAAATGCACTGCCGCCATCCGAATGCTTGCATACGGAGTGCCCGGTGATCTCATTGACGAGTACGTTCATATGAGCGAGTGTACTTGCCTAGAGTCCCTATATAAGTTCTGCAAGGCTGTTATTGCTGTGTTTGGCCCTGAGTATTTGAGAGAGCCGACTGCTGATGATACTGCCCGTTTGTTGGCGATGAATGACAGCAGGGGCTTCCCAGGGATGCTTGGTAGTAAAGACTGCATGCATTGGGAGTGGTAGAACTGCACTTCTGCTTGGCAAGGGCAGTATAAGGGCCATGTCAGGGCTTGCACTGTCATACTTGAGGCCGTGGCGTCTCAAGATCTCTGGATCTGGCACTCTTTCTTTGGCATATGACCGGATCACACATGATATCAACGTGCTTCAACGCTCGCCAGTGTTTGCTAGGTTTGCCGAAGGCAACAACCCACCGGCGAACTTTACCGTCAACGGCCACGCTACAACAAAGGATACTATCTGGGTGACGGTATCTATCCTTAGTGGACCACTATTGTCAAGACAATACCCAACCCTGCCGGATAGAAGAGGAAAAGATTTGCCCAAGAGCAAGAGAGTTCTAGGAAGGATGTCGAGCGTGCCTTTGGTGTTTTGCAATCTCGATGGGGCATCGTTCGGTATCCTGCTAATACCTAGAGCACGCAGAAACTGTGGGAGGTGATGAATGCTTGTGTGATCATGCATGATATGATCATAGAAGACGAGCGCCCGGAACGTCTGTATGATCAAGGGTTCCAGTTTCAGGGTGAGAATGTTGTGCCTGAGCATGGAGTAGCAGCAACGTTTGAACCGCTCACTCAATTTCATCAAGACATGCATGATTGGGAAACTCACGTGCAACTGCAAAATGATTTAGTTGAGCATATGTGGGCTCATGTTGGCAACCAATAGATGTATCTTCTTTTATTCGTTTGCAAAACTATGTGAGACCTTTTTATTTTCATTTCGCTTGTAATAAACTATGCTATTTTATTCGGTCCAAAACGGTTTTATTTTGAACTATGCAATCATGCAAAAAAATAAGGGGGCCACGCAGCCACGCCGGCACATATGGGTCAGCGCGTTGGGCGCCCTGCCGAACCATATCTAAAACAGGGTGGATGCCGGGCGGGCGGCCGATCCAAACGGACAAAAAGCGGACGAAATCGCCCCATTGGAGTTGCTCTAAATACATTATCTAGAGCAAATCATCCCAAATACTGAAGGCTCTAAAACACAATCAACAAGTTCTTATTTTAATTTAATGTGACAGTACTCATATTTTTGTTAATTTTGAAATTAACAATATTGTAATAGT